CTGCACTTCACTTCTTCGGCTTCCACTATCTTATGAACGTTGCGATTCAACCACAGTTTGAAGGGTTTGAAAGAACAATTGCACCAAAATGCGTTGTTTCTAATGTCCACTCGAATGTAAGAAGAATCACTTACGTATTGCAAAAATTTTGCAGGAAAATCTTGTAGACTATTGTATCGAAGAGTGAGAAATTTCAACGAAGAAGGAAACCTCCAATGCTCGGAGGGATTTAAACGATTGTGGTCCAAGTACAGTTCATCCACTCCAGACCAACTGTCTGTAATTTTTATTGCGGAAAGAGAGTTGTGTTCCAGGTGAACGATTGTGGTGTTTTCGGGAAGTATTGCAGGAGCGTGGGAAATATTGGAGAAAGAACAATTTACTATGACCGAAAAGCCTTTATATAAGTAACAGCGGCACTTCGGTGGGCAATGTTCTACAACGGGACACACCACGTAGGAAGGAATCAATTCCTGGAAAGTCTTGTTTCGTAAGTCAGAAGGAGAATCGCAGAGCAGCGATCGACCGTTTTCCAAAAACTGAACTTCTTCGACGAAATTCCTCAAAGCGCAGTCACACCGGAAGGGGTTTCCAAAGAGAGTGACGTTATTCATATTCCTGGAGATTTTTCCCGCGACTGTTGTGATATTATTGTTCATCAATAAAATTACAGAGCGATTATCCGGAGGGAGGTCTTCGGTGCGAAGAATCGACAGGCGATTGCTATTCAGTCTGAGCAGCGAGATGTTATACGCTGTCCAGTCCATTCGAGGAAACTGTGTTAAGGAGGTGTTGGAAAGCCCCAAGAATGTCAAACGCGGCAGTCTTCCGAACGGTGTCGATTCTGGTAAAGAGCCCAGAGGATTTTCATCCAGATACAGTACTTTCAGATTCTTCAAAATTTCAAACTTTCCCTCTTCTACCTTCGTTATTCTGTTTCCCGTTAAAGACAATGCTTGAATATTTTGAATGTCGTCAAACACTTCGAAAGGAATTTTGGTCAGAAGATTGTTGCTTAAATCCAGTATCGCCAGCCGTTTGTTTCTACTGAACACGGTGGACGGTAATTCGTGCAATCGGTTCTTATGTAAATATATTTGTTGGATATACGTGTTATTTACAAACAGATCAAGGTGTAAACGATCGATTCTATTTTCGCATATTCGAACTTCGATTAAGTGATAACAAGAGGAAAAAATCTTCGATGGCAATTCACTGATGTCGCAGTTGCAGGCATCAAATTGCTCTAATTTTGAGACATTTTGCAATAGTATTTCCGGTAGAGAACGGAAACTGTTGTTGCTCGCGTTCAGATAAAGCAAATTAAAATTATCTGCAAACAAGGAAGGGGGTAGAGTATTTAAGCGATTGTCGTTTAAAGTAAGCGTATTAAGGTTTGTCAACCCTCTAAATATGGCGGGAGGAAGAAACGTCAGCAAATTTCTATGCAGACCTAATTCCTCCAGAGATTGCAATCCATAGAAAAGGGTCTCCGGAAGATTTTCTAAACGATTGTTGAAGAGGTATAAAGATTTGAGTCTATTCAAACCACGAAATGCATCTTCTGGAAAACTTCTTATTCTTCCTAAGACTACGCAAATCATTTTTAACGAGGAGAGCCCGCTGAAGAATCCGTTCGGAAATTTTTTCGTCGTCATGCCTAACACATCGATCCTTTCTACGTTGCGTAACTCCAGTAAAGTGTACGTGACGTTTTCTATGTGGTGTAACGTGATGTAGTAAAGATTCGGTAGGTTCTTGATGATCACATGCGAATTTGGTGGAACGTCTTCGGAAATCAAAAAGAAACGCCGAACACTTTTATCTCCCAGGGAAGTTCCGACGTCGGAAGAGGGAAGGAGGCATTCTCTTAACATCACGGTGAAAAAGTAAGTAAAATTAGTACACACACGAATCTGTTCGGCGTCGAAAGTGTTTCCTCGACACACCACGTAAATGGTTCTGTAGTAGTCGTTGATGTAAGAAGTAACGTTCGATCCGCATTCTATTCTTCGATTCATTTTCGAACTAATTAAACCAAATCGGTCGGTAAGGAAGAACCACCCCTGTACTGCCGTGCAAAGGAACACCAATTGAACCAAGAAGATTATCTGCACCATCTGAAACGAAAGTAAAACGTGTCACTTTCTGAACAGATCTATTTTACTCGAACACGTTTCAGCCTGTAAAGTATTAATAGTTTGTACTGTACGGTACAATTATATGGCCACTACGTACGATACGTAATTATAAAATACTGTAGTCTAATATATCTCTGTTTCCATTCCGCCGTTTGCAGCAGTGATTTNTCCACATCAGGAGGGCTCTTAACAAAGTGCAACGTGTATGCCTTCTTCGGATATCGGGGGCATACAAAACGGCTCCCACAGCAGCTCTCCAAGTCCTGACTGGGATACCACCTATGAGTCTTAAGGCTCAGGCCAATAGGATCCTCTGGAGGCTGACTCACCTCATCATACCTATGGAGAAACAGAAAGAACTTCTAGCATACCTGGACATAGGAAGCTTACCCAATCTGGAAATGGACCACCTGTTTCACCACAGCCTCAACACCACTTTTCAGACCACCTACTCACCACTGCATCACCCTGCTCATCTACCAGAGGTCTCAATGGGTTCCCAGACAGAGGGTTCCCTTCCATATAATATTGACTACATGGTCTAAATCTAAGACTGGGGTGGGCGCTGGTCTGGTCCACTATAATAATCAAAATAATCAGTTAATGCACAAAGAATCTCACCGCCTGGCAGGATTCTGCTTCATCACTCAGGCTGAACTGTATGCCATTTACAGAGCCCTCAAGTACACTAATACGAGTACTAAGCTCAAGGGCAAAAACATCTATATCTGCTTGGACAGTAGAACTGCTCTCCAAAGCATATCCAGTGGTAAGCTGGATTGCAACATTCAACGGATGATCATTCAGGAGCTAACTGGTAGCACCAGCCACATAAATTTCATCTGGACACGGGCCCATTCTGGTGACACTGGTAACGAGGAGGCTGATCGCCTTGCTAGAGAAGTCTCCTCGAGTACTACTGACGTTGCCTTCGAAGACATTCTGATGGTGGCAACCAAGAAACTCATCTGGAACACTATGATCAACATATGGCAGCGCAACTGGGAAGAGGAAGAGACAGGAAGGACAACCTTCAGCTTCTTCCCAGACATTGCACAGCGGCTACAGCTTCAACACCTCAGCATTAACTTTAGAACTACTCAATTGTTCACCAACCACGGGAATTTCCTGGCCTACCTAAACAGATTTGGGCACAGGAACTTCCCGCATTGTTAGTGCAATGGGACTTCGCAACAAGACACACAGCATCTCATATTCGACTGTAACCAATACACCCAACATAGGACGAATCTACTCGAGACAGTGTTACAGGAGGGATACAACTGGCCTTGCGACCACAACGTCTTAGTTAGAAATCAGAAGATCTTTAACGCACTTATAAACTTTGTTATAAGCCAACAATTACGTCCAATAGTCAATAAAATCAGAGCTCCCACAAGAAAATTGGAGAAAGCCATTCACAACCTACTTTCTCCCCACCTCAAGGGCTACCTGTATACCATCGATAACCCAGTTGAGCTCATTCACCTCCTTCGGGTTTTGTCTTTGACGCCGCAGTATCTTACCATGCTAGACTTTAAATCTATGTACCCATCGGTGGAGCTCCCTCCAGCTTTTTGCTCCCTTAGGGACTTTTTGCTTAATTTGACTCAAGAACAAGCATTACACCAGCAAGTCTTGAATTAGCCCATCTAATCTGTTATAATTCTATCTTTGCGTTTGACGGAGAAGTCTACAGACAAAAAAGAGGAGTCCCCATTGGTAACCCAGTATCTGGGGACCTATGTGAAATGGTCGTTAGGCAACTTGAACAAAAAACACTTCCACTGTTCCTCCTAAACATCTTACTCTATAGGAGGTGGATGACATCCTCATCATGTGGAAGACAATACCTGACATCTCGAATTTCGTACAAACCGTTAATGATAATCCCTACGGCCTAAAGCTAGAAATGGAACAATCTAGCAATACTGAGGTCCACTTTTTGGATATAAACATTAAAGTAGTAGGATCTGCCATCGTCACGTCGGTATACTGTAAACCTTATGCCGCCTCTATATACATACCGGTAGGTTCATCCGACCCCTTCACCTACAAGGCTGCAGCATTTAATACTTTGATTAAAAGGGCCTTTTCCCACTCATCCATTGCGCAAGCTTTCAACACCAAATTGAATTATATCAAGAGGATAGCAGCCAAGCATGGTTACCATGGTCTAACACACCGTCTAATTGAGTGACATCAATGATCACAATACGCACCCACTACATGTACAAAGACCAATACTGACCAGGATGAACGTACACACCTCCCAGTCACCTTTAACCCATATGTTAAAGCGATATACGCTGAGATCGCCGGAAAACAACAATTACAAATAGCCTATAGAAGATGCCCAACAATCTAAGACATCCTCAGAAATGGAAAAGGCAGTCCAGTTCATAGCAGGCTTCCTGGCGTGTACTCTATCCCACTGAAAGATAACAGATGTAACGAGAGCCTTGTCTATATCGGATCAACCATGCGATCTTTAAACACCAGAATACAAGAGGATCAAGCAGACCTTCGGCATGGGCGGTACACCACGGCCCTAACCACCTTTGCATCCGATCCCAATATAGAACCGGAGTTCGACAAAGCTGACATCATCGACACTACGCCCCACCTGGAACATCTAAAATGGCGGGAAGCTATATTCATCTGCAAGGCTAACCACCTGACCACATGTATAAATCGGAAGGATGAGATTAATTTTTCTATAGCGTGGCAGGCCCTCATAAACAACGATCTATAAATATCAACATCAGCGCACGAATGCGCATGACCATCTTAATGATCGTTTGTTATGCGAGTTTCATATTTTTTGTTTAAACATCTGCGTTCTATTTTTAGATTCAGTTTTTTTATTTAAATATCTACGTTTCATTTTTCGAAGTGTTCCGTCGGAATTTTTTCTCTACCTGAAGAAGAGCTATCTGGAAAGTTTGAAAACGTTTGTGAAAAGAAGATTTTTTCACGCAAAATTACACCGTAACAGGTTCCGTATTTAATATTTCATCCCCGGTGTGAGAGTGAAGTTTAATTTACTTAAAATGTATGAAGTCGACACTATACATGGGGCACTCCCAATTCAAATTTGCCCTAGCCCCATGAACTTGACACTAAGTATAAGTATTACAGTTCAAGTTCTAAACAAAAACTATATGTATGACATAGAGCAATCTACTTTTTTACTTCCAGTAAATTTTCATTATCATATCTGAAATTTACGTAATGTTTCACTTCTCCATTTTCTTTTCTTTGTTTCCATTTCATATAATATGATTGATAGTTATTTTATTAATTTTATTTTTAACTGTTGGCCTCTTATGCTCTTATTTGATTAATTTCTACATGTAAAAAATTGGTTTGGTTCTTATCTGTATGCTCTTTGTGCTTCTTTCTTTTTCTAGTTTCAATAATTATATTTCTAGCTATATAAAACATCTTGTTTTAGTGTTCCAGTAGTAGTCTTGTTCTTGTTCAGTTATGTATTATTTGCGATGTAATTTTTATGATATGTTGAGAATATCAGAAAGAATTGCATACTTGTGTTTTTTAGATGGAATTGAAACTGTTTCACTTAAATTGTTTTTAATTTTATTGACTAAACTTAATTTAGGTTCATATTGCAAGGTCATTAAACAAGTTTATGGTAGCTTGTAAATACCAAAATATTAAAAGAGTATTCTAAAATACAATCATTTAGCTTTTATTTCATATATACTTCTCATACTATACCTCGTAGAAAGTACGAATTTTCAGAAAATTATAAAAATTCAAATTTCAAAACATACTCGTATATTCAGTCAAATAAGTTTGCTTTTTTTCTTGTTTTTAGAATAGAAGATGGTGTATCTTCATTTCCCTTCTCAGTTCACTGAAGAGGAAGAGATGTTGCAAAAGAAGTATCAGAAGCTGAGAAGGAAGAAGAAAGCCTTTCAGCAAATGAAAGCTCCAAAACAAGAACCACCGAGTAATCAAAGCTCTCTGAAAAATCAGATTGAAGTTAAAAAAGATGCAAAAGAAGTAGCCAAGAAACTGCTTCAGTCGGGTGCCATCAGTGCAATAAAGGTCGAGAACAAAGAGCGTCAGGGTTTCAAGAGACCCAAGGCTTCCGAAAGGAAACGGGTGGGCTCCGAGAAACTGGGAAGCACCGTGACAGGCTACCAGCCCTTCACTTCCAGCCACCCCACCGAAGAGGAACCAGCCGAATTTGGAAGACCCGCCATGAAGGGATTGTACGAGAGCTTCGTTAGCTCCAGGGAGACCGAAGACGGCGATAGCACGGAAGACAAAGAGAGAGAAAACGAAAAGAGTTCCAGACCCGAGAGGCCCCAGCAGGGCAACACGGTCTACGTCCACGGCTACGGAGTGACGGAGGATATTCTGAGAAACGGTTTTCAGCCCTTCGGAAACATCATCAATATTTCCATGGAGATGGACCGACACTGCGGATTCGTCACTTTCGACACCATAGAGGCAGCGGACAAGGCCATCAAAGAGATGAACGGACAGACGGTGTCTCGGGTGCAGTTGAAAGTATCCTTGGCCAGGAGACAGCCCCTCATTCCTTCTGCCACCGACGGTGCCGCCTCGTGGTCGGGCCTGGCCAGTTACTCTCCCAAGGGCAACCACAAGGACAAGAGGAACCTTGTTTCTTACGACGACATATTTTAGTATTCTAATAACGTTATGTGGTAAGGATCACAATTGGCAGTTTTCTGTTTGTCCTCAATCCTCGTTCTAAGAAGGTGATGATATCATTTAACGTAAACTTTTTATCGTGCAAGTTTTTGAATTGATGTGTACTGGTAAGAGTTTTAAGCTGTTGATGGAAGTTATGAAGAGTAAACAATCTTTACTTTTTAAATGTTTCTGAACTATAAAAAGTTATAAACAGATAAAATATAAGAACAAATTTAATTAAATTGCTGATGTAATTTGAAGAAATTTGTGGAAATTCATTACGATACTGCCATAAATTCTTTAATAGTTTCTTAGATTTCTTTGTGATTTTCTAATATATATAAAAAACTGTGATGTAATAGTAACAAAATATGTAAATCAGAGATGAATTTTGACATCATCTTGATGAGAGTACCTAATAATAATTGAAATTTTTTTCACTTTTTTTTTGCACTAGCTGGATTTGCATTTTATTTTCTTAGAATTTAAATTAATTACCATAACAACAGTCAAATAAAGATTGGAAAACTACATGTTCAACTTTCGTAAATAGGTACTGGTATAATATACACCACACTCTCTTCAACCTTAAATAACCAGTAAAATATTTAAAAATTTTTTCCAACATAAGCTCGAGAGAAGCCTTTGTGTACGTTACCAAAAGAAATTCCAATGGATCCTCAAGAAACAAAAACCACATGATACTCTAAAACACTCATCCTTGATATGCTGGGATAACATATCACCTCCTGACTCATCCGCTCACTATCATATGGGCCTATGTTTGCACCTCCTGATCATCACATACATCCAGAACAAGTGATGCCTGATATAGAAAATCTTATCACTGGGATGAATGAAGTCCAAAAAGATTATTTCAGATGGAAGACTGCAATAAAGATAAGAGATACTAACAGCCGCCCACATGAAGATCAAATATGGAAGCGGATTTCCGAGTCTAAAAAATGGCTAAGGGATAATAACGTAGTAGTATTCAAGGCGGACAAGAGCAAAGCTTTGGTGTTATTAAAGAGGAGTACGTACACTTCGATGATGCATAAGTACATCAATGATACAAGGAGACCCTACGGCTTTGGGGTAACGGATTTTGATGATCTTTGGTGTAGAGGTAGTACACCATGTGAGTGTACTACCTGTAAAATACTAAAGTGCAATACTCAAATATAATCGAGAAAATCGAACTTAGAGTTTTTAGCACTTTATATATAAATTATACGTATTTGTATTTGAGCGTCCTGTGGCAGAGTGGTAACGAGTCTGATTCATAAGCTTGAGTTCTCGGGTTCGATTCTCGCGTATAATTTTTTTTTAATTCTTAAATACTTATAATGTATTTATTTATTTACTCATTCATTTATTTCTTATTATTTATTTATTTTAATTTAATTTCTTCTATTCCAAGTCTAATATTTTTATACTTTTGTTGACAATAACGGCGCATTCTTGACACCTATGTGTCAACTTTCCCATCTAATTGTTATCACTAACGGTGACCGATCTAATTCTCACTAGGAGCGTTTTTTCTATCGGAGTTCTTTTTCACTCACTCTTTAACAGTTCGTTTCTAAATTTCGACACGAATAGACGTATTTGTGTAGTAAAACTTATTTTGAAAAATTATTTTATAAT